AAACCCTGAACGGGCAGAGGAGGGTCGGGGGCGACTGGCTGCCGCCACCTCCCGGATCTGCAGCCAGGTCGACTCGACCTCGCTCCGACTTTGAGGTGCCCCCGGGCGCTTGCGCCACGGCCCTCGGGAGGCGACAGCAGCCCACGCCCGCGCGGGTCACCACACCGGGTAACGGCTGCCAGCGCCGGCGCGCAACGACGCTGTCCGGGCCGGGCGGAGCCAATGGCGGCTGACAGAGACGCACAGGAAATGCGTCAGTGAGAGCAAAGGCGGGCGAACTACAACCCCCAGAAGCCCCCGCGGAGTCCCTCCGCGCGGCGCCGCGGCCCGGAAGCTCCGGCTCCCCCCGGGGCCCTGGGAGCCTGCCCTGGAGGCTTTAAGAAGAGTGAGTTAATTGAGTGACAGCACAAACGCGGCAGGGGTGTAGGTCAAGTGTACTAAGTTCCTTGCTTTTGGGTAGAAGTCCTAATTTACACTTTAATAACTCAAAAATGTGTAACACATTAACGTAACATCTCAATGAAAATTAGTTTTCCCCGCCCGGGCCGGCGCCCAGCGGTGAGAGCGCCGGCCTGCGGTCTGAGGGACGCGGGTTCGCTTCCGGCCACGCGCACCTAACGCGGGTGCGGGCTGGCCCGGGAGGGTGGGGCGGCCAATCCGTGTTTCTCTCTCCCCTCTCCCCTCCCCTCCGGAGAAGCAGCGGGGAGAACATCCTCAGGTGAGGGGGAAGTTGGTGGTGTGACCCTCGGCGGGGGCGTTCGCCCGCAGCAGGCACCTGCCCTCGGCCCAGGGGGGCCTGGGACCCTTCAGTCCCCCGCGGAGGCTCATCCACTGAGCCCGACCAGCGGGGAAGCCAACACTGCTCTTTTAAAAAAATTGCTTTGGTTATCCTAGGTTCTTTAAATCTATAAATTTTTGATTAGCTTGTCAAATTCCACACAAGTGCCTCTGAAGCTAAAAATTTGGAGAGAATTGCTGTCCTAACAATATTGAGTTTTCCCATCCTTGACCACAGTGTATTACTCCATTTACCACATCTATGTATTCTTTATATGTCCTTGAACTTCAGCAGTCTTTTACAACTTTCACTGCACAGGCCTTGCTCATGCCGTTACCTTTATCTATTTGTGAGTGAGGCTGCATCTCTGGCTTCATTTCCAAATTGTGCACTGCTGGTACATAGAAATGAAATCGGTGATTGCATACTGACCTTCTATTCTGTCACCCTGCCCAGTTCCCTTAAAGTTCTAGCTTATTTGCAGACAAGAACTTTGGAAGAAAAAATATTCCATCACTGATGAGATTGTTTTCCTGATCTTAAAAGTAATACGTATTCTTTGAACAGACTTCAGGAAGAACAGAAAAGTTAAAAAAAAAAAAAAAGTCAATGCCAAACCCCAATATGTACATTAACTACTACTATTAATCTTCTGAGAAGTTAGAGTTCTGAGCAGGATTCATTTCATTTTGCAGTTCATTTATTTACATATTTGAGTTTATTCCATATTTACATTTGTTATTGTTTCATAACACATGACAGCATCAACATTTTTCCTGTTACCAAACTTTGCATACTTTTAATGTCTGCATATCACTACATGGATACACTATAAATAACCATTTTGTTATTATACATTTTTATATTGCAAATTTTGCACTATCATAAGTAGTGTTTCAGGGATCGTCCATAGACACATCTCCTCCCACATTCCTTAGGATGTTAATAATAGTAATATTATTATTGTTACTAGGCAACACATATAGTGCTTACTATGTGCCAGGCACTGTTTAAAGTACATTATACACATTGTCACACTAATCCACACAACTCTCTGAGGTAGATACTAGTAGTACCTCCGTTATAAGTTGAGAAAAATTAAGCCATAGGTTATCGGAAAGTCTAAGGGGCTCAGTTAAGGGGCTAACTTCGAATTAATGGGAAAGTTTGCTAGTAGATGCTTCTCAAGCTTCCTTGAAGATGAAATAAAGAAACTAAATATCTTTTTAATATTTAAAAATGTTTTCAAAATAACATTCACAATGAATAAACTGTAGAACTTGTTACCCTGTTATCAATCAAGTCAATTCTATTCACTAATCCATATTTTTTCAATTCTTGTCCACATGCAAATATATTTTTAAATGGGTACTACTAATAGTAAATGTATTATTTCTGCTTTGCATTATAAGCATTTTCCTGGCTAACCAAAATGTGATTACATCAGACACATAAAACCAACTAAACAGCATTAAGTATCCGAGAAGAGAGGGACAATCAAGTAAAAATGGTACATTAATTCACTGAAACCTTATTTTCCATCTTGTTACAATAACTATCAATTTTCTATTCTCATGCAACAACTCTCATTTATCTTTCTGAAGTAGCATTATCATCATTTTTTGAAGCAGCTAGATCATCTCTCAACAACTCACCTACTTAATGGTTCCTTCTCAAATTTTAGACTTTAAGGCTTGGTCAAGAATGCTCCAGGCCTATGAATTATATGAATCTTTGTGGAAAGAAGAAAGTCTAAAGTATTTGTGTACTAAAGTGAAATCTGCGGGGAGGTTTTCCACACTCCCAGACCAATTCTCTAAATATACACACAAAAAATAGTAACAAGGCTGAAAGCCTTTCCACATGGATTATATCTGTATAGCTTCTCTCCAGAAGTTCTCCAAACCTAAATAAAGTTACTGTTCTTTGTGAAAAGTTTTCCATATTCATTATATTAATATGTGTTTTCTCTAATATGACTTGTGTGGTACCTAGTAAGGTTAGGGCTATTAACAAGCGCTGTCCCACACCGATTACATGTTAGGAACTGCTCTCCAGTGTGAGCTATCTGATGTACTATAAATGGAGAGTTGTGGCTGAAGGTAACTCCACACCTGTTACATTTATAAGTCTCTTCTCCAATGTGGATCTTCTGGTGCTTAATAAGGTCATTCTTCCGAATGAAGGCTTTCCCACACTGACAACATTCATATGGTTTCTCTCCAGTATGAATTCTCTGATGCACAATGAGGGCAGAACTCTGGCTGAAGGATTTTCCACAATCATGACATTCGTATGGTTTCTCTCCAGTGTGGGTTCTCCGGTGTGAGAAAAGGTGAGAACTTCGACTGAAGCATTTTCCACAATCTTTACACTCAAAGGGTTTTAGTCCAGTGTGAGTTCTATGATGCACAACTAGGTGAGATCTCTGGCTATAAGACTTCCCACATTCATTACATTCATAGGGCCTCACTCGAACGTGAGTTCTCTGATGCAGAATGAGATGTGTGCTCTGTCTGAAAGATTTCCCACATTCAGAACATTCATAAGGTTTCTCTCCAGTGTGAGTTCTCTGGTGCCTAATAAGCCTGGAGCTATGAACAAAAGATTTCCCACACTGATTACACGTGTACAGTTTGTCTCCCGTATGGGTTCTCTGATGGGTAACAAGGTGAGAGAACCAGCTGAAGGACTTTCCACATTCTTTACATTCATAGGGTTCCTCACCAGTGTGAGTCTTTTGATGTCCAATGAGGTGAGAACTCCGGCTGAAAGATTTTCCACATTCTTTACATTCATAAGGTTTCTCTCCAGTATGAATTAGCCGGTGCCTGGTAAGATTAGAACGCCAGCTGAAGAATTTTCCACATTCTTTACATTCATAGGGTTTCTCTCTATGTATACCCTTTGATATACCACGGGATGTGCCATGACTACGGGAGTTATCGTTATTGGGGCATTTGTAGGGTTTACCTCCTGTCTGAGTTTTTGCAAACTGAGTAAGGTGAATGTTCTGACAGAGAGTTTGGCCACATTCACTACTGTTACTTGCACAGCTTTCCTGATGACCATTAAAAACTACATCACCTTTTAAACTTTTAGTACATGAGTCATGTTTATGAAAATACTCTCTCAGTACTAGTTCAGCAGGAAGAAGACAGTTTCCCCCAAATTTACCATTATCACTGACTCTTTCTGGAGAAAGTACTTTCTTTTGGGTGAATGCCACTTGCCTCAAATGTCTCTCCTGGTTTTTCTGATACTTGTCCAACTGGTCTTCACAATTCCAGACTTCTTCTAGTGACAGATACCAGATATCACTCTTTGCCATTCCTTCCATTTTAATGTCATAGGAATCTAGAGAAATGCTCTTATTGGAAACTGATTTAATTTCAACCGCAGTATCCCAATCTGAAAGAAGACATAAAGAGTTGCTTTCAGACATGGTTCTGTAACCTTGACAGAGAATGAGAAAGAGAAGACTACAGCAGTACATAAAGGAGCAAAAAGAGTAAGGAGATGCCACAGGACTGGGTATGACACATGGGATCAGGATATTTGGGATGGGGGAGGGGGCAATAAAGGAAATCCCACAGAAATAGCTGCACTCCCAATATCTAATCCATCTATTAATGACATAAGAACCTAATGTGTCTTCCTGTTGCCAGGCCCTCCACCTGATATGCATTCTCCACACTACAGCCAACTTAATGTTCCTGAACCATGAATGTAGTCACGTCAGGCAATGCCTTTTATCTACATCACTAAAGCATTACAGCATGAGACACTGGGAAACACCTGACAGGCATAGACATCAGATATCACACAGAAAAGACTGCATGATGCACTGGGCTTGGAAAGCTTACTCGGGTCACTGACAAGTGTCCTGGCTGTTCTGCCCATGCAAAGTTGGCCATTTGCAGCATGACTCAAACAAGCAACACCCAAGGGGGCTGAGGAGAAAAATGACTGAATACTGAGCTCAGAAAGGAAGAGCAGGGAAACGATCGCTCACAGGGAATAGAGGAGGAGAAAGACCACTTTCTATTTCTTAACGTAGACGGGAAGAAAGGGAAAAGTGACGTTAGGAAACTACACAATAATTTCATTTTTACGTATAAAGATTAAAATAAACGAGGTATAAATTTAAAAAACATTAAATAAAGAGCCAGAGTGTGGTGCGAACACAGATGTGTGAGAGCAGCAATTCTGGAGAAGGAGAATGAAGCAGCCAGACAGGCAAGCTCTGTCATGGTTTCCTAAATGGCAAAGACAACTCAGGACAGTGGCAGGTGCTGGAGTCCCACGGCAGAGCCAACACACTGAGGCTGTAGGAAGGAGCCACATGAAAGGGAAAAGACAGGCAAAGACAGAAAAATAATTCTGTAAAAACGTGAGAATGAGGATGCTACACTTGGTGGTAATAAGCAGGTCTCAAACCAAGCATATCAAGGGTCGATTTTAATAAATAAGATAGATACCTTTGTCTCTGAATGCTAATGCCAAGGTTGTAGAAAGACTGGAACAGGGAAGTACAAGGTAAATAAACTGAGACTTCCCCTCAGAAATGGGAACTAACGCCCGGCTGGTGTGGCTCAGTTGGTTGAGCATCGTCCCATGCACCAGGTCTCCAGGTTGATTCCCAGTCAGCGCACATGCCGAGGTTGCAGACTTGATCCCCAGTAGGGGGCATGCAGGAGGCAGCAGACTGATGTTTCTCTCTCTCTCTGTCTCTCTCCCCCCCCCCCACTTCCTCTCTCTGAAATTAATAAAAACATTTTTTTTTAAATGAGAACTAGTGACCATATCTCCAGGGATGCTAGCACAATGGGTCATCTAGGCTACTGCCTGCAATGCCTCGTCTGATCCTCACCTGGACGGGTATCTTGGTGAATCCCTCTCTCCACCAGCCATGGCTCTTCCCCTTTCTCCAACTGGAGGATTACATCTGGCTTGGGAAGTTGATGTCCTGTTCACAGTAAAAGATAAAGAATTGGCAAGGGTAGGGGGCCCTTGAGCTGGACACAGAGAAGCATCCCAGATTCAACCTTAACTCCTTACCCCCAGCCCTGGGGAACTCTGAAGGACAGGCAAGGTAAGGCTATATAGGCAGCAAAATGTGCATTTTAAAAAATTCAACAAATCAAAACAATTTTTTCCACAATAGCAGGAGTACAAGAATCCTGTTCTATGCCCCCAAGAAACTAGGTCCCTGAACCCAAGCTCACACTCTGATACATGTTCATGGTCTCCATACCTTTTGATCAATGAAGAACCAAAATCATCGCAGGGAGTGCATCTCCAAAAACGGAGGTTAGTCTTACCCAAGGAAACCAGGTTCTTATAGTTCTCCAGCATCACATCCTTGTACATGATCTGCTGAGCAGCATCCAGGAGCTTCCACTCCTCCCTGGTGAAGTTCACAAGTATATCCTTGAAGGTCACCAGTGTCTACAACATGAAACAAGTTTGTATTAAGCCAGGTGTGTATCTATGCCCTACCTTTCCTGAATACTGGCAGAAACAGAGTTTAGGCAGATAGCACTGGGGTAGGGAAAGAGGATGGGCCAGAATTTATTCCAGGAGTCAGTAGTATTTGAGTTGGATTCTGGTCAAATTCTAAAAGGAAGAGCTATTTGGTGCCTAATGTCCCAAAACAAGTTCTGTTACGCTCTAGGTTTGGAAACTATCAGAAGCATTTTATTTAAACCAAGTTTGCTATAAACAGTTATAGCATGTAGAACCAGAAACCAAAAGTTAATCTATACTTATATTATGTGAAATAGAGAATATAAATCAAGGCAATAAAAGAGGGGAAAACAATCTTGAGTTTAGAACAACTTAATGCTTAAAAGACCAACCTAGCCATATAGGGGAAAAAAAACACTTTAAAGACAGGACTTCTCATCAAAGGCCATGAAGGTTAGATGACAGTGGAATATTTTTTTAATGCTGAAAGATAACAACTGTCAAGCAGAATTTCTATGCACAATGAAAACATCAAGAATGATGCAAAATCCATTTCCATATAAAATAAAACAGCATGTTACCCGCAGACTTGCCCTAAAAGACATACAAAAGGTGGTTCTTCAGGCAGAAGGGAAATAACACCAGAGAGAAACTTTAAAGCTCATAAATAAAGATGAACAACAAAAACAGTAAATATAATAACCTGGTTTTGTTATCTTAAATCCTTTCAAACTATGCAGGACAGTTGAGAGTAAAAACTGTAGCATTTTCTGGTGGTTTCCCATGTATGTGGAGGTAACATGTGAGGGATCCTTGGGGGAAGATGGGTAAGGTGCAGGAAGCCATGTCCCCCTCCAGTCTCACGGAACAGGCTATTCTCAGAGGTTCCATCTTCAGAGCTCTTCCTGCCTTGGTTGCAGTTACCCCGTGATAATCATTACGTGTCCCCAAGTTCCTCCAAACAGCCACCCCCCATGGAGGAGTTAACATAGCCAGAACCACACCCCCCCTGGACAACCAGGGTCTAGAGAAACACTGACAGGCACCAACATTATCAGTTCTTTTGCCTTCTTTGGAGAAGGAAGCTTGCTGTGAGCTCAATTCCTTAGTGTGGACAAAAGTGTTTCATTCCTCAATATTACCTCACCTGATTCCTGCCCACATTACTGATAAACCTGTTTCTTTGATATGAAAGAAAATAAAACTATTTCTACAAATATTTCTCTCCTGGAAGAGAGCATCTGAAATGCAATTTCTGAAGTTCGAGGCAAAGGAACTTCAGAACTTAAGCAGAAAGGGATTCTCAGTTGGAAAATAAAGAAAGAAGGCAGCTCAGCTTACAGGGAACCGGGCAGTTAATGACTTGGCTTCCATGCCCTCCGAGAGCTTGTTGATGCTTCCTTGAGTAATGAGAGGTCCAAGAAGGCAAAGCTGGGAAAAGAAAGAAACAGGAAAGTTTGCTGTGGCTGGGATGCTTCATGAATCCTCAGCCTAGACTCCCTCTTACCAGCAATATACAATGCAAAAACCACCACACAGAGGGACATCCAAGGTATTGCAGAAGTTCCCAGGACTAGGAAGAAAAGAGCTATGTAGGTTGCCTCCCCCCTCTAACCTCCAGAGTTCATTGGAATCACACTGTTCTACCACCACAAATCCTCTTTTTTTGAGGAAATCAAACAAAAAACAAAACTTGACCTGATCTAGCATCCTCACTTTAGAGATAAGAACAGTGTTTTCTCCAGCTGGTCACAGAAGGTAAGTCAAAGATTTGAAGCACAAGAAACGTGAGCATTACTGGCCTCAAGGCAGAAGGTGCCATGTGGCAAGAAGTGTGGGTAGTCTGTATAAGCTAATTGTACCATGCTGACAGCCAGCAAGGAAACGGGGACCTCAGTCCTACAGCCACTGGGAACAGAATCCTGCCAGCAGAGTGAGCTTGGAAGCAGATTCCCCCCCCACACACCCTCCAGTTGAGAACTCAGACCCGCCAACACCAAGCCACACTGCATCAGATGTATACCTACAGAACTGTGAGCAAGTAAGTGGGTGCTGTCTGAAGCGGCTAAATTTGTGGAAATTTGTTGCACAGCGATAAGAAAACTAATGGCTGGCCAATTATCTTTTAAAGGTATTTAAATATACATTTACTTATGTATTTGGCAGTGCCTGTCATTCTTTCTTGTAGACACTGGTTTCCATTTGGTTTCATTTCCATTCTCCCTGAAGGACATCTTTTAACGTTTCTTGCAGTGTGTCTGCTGGTAATAAATTGTTTCAGCTTTTGTAAGTCAAACAAATGTCTTTATTTTGCCTTTGGACCTTTTTAAAACAGCTTTATTGAGATATAACTCACATATCATACAATTCACCCACTCAAAGTATACAAATTCAGTGGTTTTTGGTATATTACATTATTAATTTTTAAAATTACGATGAAATATATACAACAAAATTTGCCATTTTAACCACTGCTAAGTGTACAATTCAGTGGCATTATACACACAATGTCGTGCAGCCATCACTGCCAATCCCAAAACTTTTTCCTCATGCCACATAGAAACTCCTACACATTAATATTCCTCCCTTTAAACCCCAATAACCTCTACTTTGTTTCTATGAATTTGCCTCTTCTAGAAATATCATGTAAACAAAACATACAACATTTGTGCTTTTGTGTCTAGCTTATTTTACTTAGCAAGGTTCACCCATGATGTAGCATGTATAAGAACTTCATTCCTCTTCATGTCTGAGTAATATTTCATTGTATAGCAACCACCTTTGGTGTATCCATTTATCTGGAATGTTCCCATCTATTGACTATTGTGAATGCTGCTGCAATGAGCACTGGCATACGAGAATCTGCTGGAGCACCTGCTTTCAATAACGTTGGGAAAATACCTAGAAGTGGAATTGCTATGTCATATGTTAATTTGGGGGTTTAGCTTTTTGAGGACCCACAAACTTCAACTGCAGCTACATGATTCTACTTTCAGCAATACACAAGGGTTCCAATTTTCCCACAAACTTGCCAACATGAGTTGTTATTCCATTTTAAAAATTATTATAGGCATCCTAGTAGCTGTTAAGTGACATCTCCTTGTGGTTTTAATTTGTGTTACTTTCATGTGCTATTGGCCATTTGTATGACCTTCTTTGGAAGAATGTCTGTTCAAGTTCTCTGCCCATTTTAAAATTGGGTCGTTAATATTTTCTCCCATTCTACAAATTGCCTTACCTTTATTGTTAAAATATATTTTTGCAAGTAGACAGTTGTTTTTCCTTTCACTGCATTACAGATACAGCTCACTCCCAATACTCTGGGCATTAGAAGAATTTTCCAGTCTGGCTAGTAGTAACGGGCAGCATTACCCCTGAACGCCAGGCCTGCGCGCTCCGGGTGGGCTCTACGGCCTCCTGGTGTCAGCCTTACCTGTGACATGCCCCCTAGCTGTTAGGCGGTACACATATCATCTCTACTTAAGACCTCTAGTGTCAAGGGGAAATAAAATTATTATAATTTATGAGCTGTATCTGAAAAATAAAACTGGGTTAAACACAGACCCCACTAGTTAATCTATTTGAGTTGAAAACAAAACAAAGCTGAAGGCGAGGGCGCTGAGGGCGAGGGATGTGCGTCGTTTCTCACGACCGCGCACAACCCCGCTTGATCGTAACACTGAAGCTACTGATCCGACACTTCCAATGAATATTTTTAGGCTAAACCGAGAAACAGAAATCTGTCGAGCCCTTTCTGCCGCCAAACTCATTAAAGCACATAACCTCCCCAGTATCCTCAGGCAGAACCCAGCAGTGCATACAGGGTGCCCCCCAAAATGAAGCGCACTTTACCAGTCAACAGCGCAGACTCCGTTCCACTTTGGAAATGAAATGTATTTTAGAACGCTGGTTTTGTGATGTGTATACATTTTGGGACACGCTGTATATTTAAAAACCAGTGTAACCACTTCGGATTCCTCCCAGGAAGGTAACTAACCACTAAGAGACGTTCTCATTCTCAGCGGACGCCAGGAAGGCGCCGGCGCAGTAACGCGCTCCTCCCGGGCGGGGGCGGCGCGGGCCCGGAGCCGCCTGGTGCCGCAGCACCCAGAACGCGGGCCCGGTCACCACCCGGGACTGTCGTGACTCGGCCCCGGGAACGTCCCCACTCACGCCACGGGAGCGTCAGCGAGCACCGTCCGGGGAGGCGCCGCGCCCTCGAGAGGGGGGGATCCCCGTCAGAGCCGCGCGCTGACGAAACCGCCGTCTGCTCGGCACGAGGCTCCGAAGCCGCCGTCGCACTGCGGGGGTCCACGCGTGTCCGACTACCAGGCGAACACGCACCCCACTTTCGCGCGTACCTGCGAGAAGCCCTGGAGGCTCGAAGCGGGGCAG